TTTGTATTTTATGTGTATGAGTGTATTGCCTGCAAGTATGTAAGTGCACCCGTGCTGTGTAATGCCCAGAGGTAAGAGGGTGTCAGATGGTTGTTAGCTGCCATGTGCGTGCTGGGAACCAATGTGGGTCCTCTACAAGAGCAGCCAGTGCTCTTAACCACTGAGCCATTTATCCAGCCCCAGCACCCACCTCTTCAGTCTTTTTTAATTAAAAAAATTTTTTAAATTATTTTTATTTTATGTGTATGAGTGTATTGTCTGCATGTAGGTAAGTGCACCATGTCATGCAATGCCCACAGAAGACAGAAGAGGCCATCAGATCCCCTGGAACTGGAGTTATGGACAGTTGTTAGCTGCCATGTGGGTGCTGGATTCGAACCCTGGTCTTCTGCAAGAACCACCAGTGTTCTTAACCGCTGAGCCATCTCTCCAGCCCCTCAAATAGTCTTAAATGACACAACACTTATTGGCTGCCACAACTAACCATTCTCATTCTCATTTCTGGAACAAATGATTTTTTTAAACTGAGGCAGTATATCTAAAGGTGGTTTCTGAAGAGTTAATACATAATAAATATGTTGTAATTTTTGCTTCCTTGGTTACATTATTTCTTCTACTCTATTAGTTCAAATTATTTCAATCTTTGAGGGTTGGCTCAAGACTTTTCTTATAATACAATATTCTTTTCTACTGAGTTAAAAAGGTTTATGTGGTTCTATAGTCATATTTACATAATTGCACAACTGTTCTCTAGTATTTCATTTATGTATACTTAGATTACATTGCTTGAGGTCAAATAGTGACTCATCTCAAAAAACTAAAGACTGGTTAGTAAACTGTTATAGTTCTATTGAAGAGCCAGAATGCTCTGACTCCATTTTGGCTAGCTTCTTCAGACAAGCCCGGATAAGCTCAGGCATATTGTTAAATTTTTCCAGTTGCTACCCCACCCCCCCCACCGGAAGCTATAAATTAAGCAAACCCTGGACATGTAAAAGCCTTATAAGGTATGAACAAAAACTTCTGGGCCCTAAAAGGTATCAGTCAGCATATTCCAATGCCCTGAAGACAGCCCCTACCAATCAAGACTTCCCCCGTACTCAGGATATGGGGACATCCAATTATTTTAAAAGACGCTTGGTGTGCGCTCGGGTTTCTGTGGAGTTCCCCAATAAAAGCCCCTGCCTGCTATTGTTCAGGGCCAGACTCCATCTTTGGCTCGTGTAGTCTGTGCCTGGCTAGCCACCATTTGGTTGTTTTTACTTTAAATTCCTGAATAAACTTTTTGTATAATCTTTTTGGTATCTGTGGGAATTATTCTCGATTCTTGAACCCCAACATTTGGGGGCTTGTCTGGGATTTGAGAATAGAAACCTCAGACATATGGGAACGTGCCACCAGAGCCGGCCTTGGTAAGTAAGTCCTCCCTCCCTTCCTCAACCCCCCCCATAGTCCGGACATCCTGGGGCTCAACAGAGATCAGGTGGATGCGCTATTGATCCCAGAGCTGGAGGAGAATGGGTGACGCCCTGACTCCTCCTCTGATAGGGGGTCGTGCTCCAGCCTGACATGGAATCCAGGCGGGACGGCCCAGAGTCTTGGCCCAGCCCGGTGTGGAATCTGAGCGGACCAGATGCAAGATTCGGGTCAAGTCTGACGTGGAATCCAGGCTGGCCAAATCTTTTTGGGAAAGGGACAGGGGCAGCCTTCTCAGCTGACTCCGCACACTGCGAGATTTTCATTTCTCCCTCTAGGAAGCCACCATCTCATACTGTCCTCACCCTGTTCAGAGCTCTGCCTTGTCTATCGACTTTCCATTCTACTCCTCCTCATGCTCATTCCTCTTCTTATATTCCTTTTTCTTGAAGATTATCCCATGATGGGCCAGAAAGTCTCATCATCTTCAGCTCCCCTGATCTAGCTCTTAGTCATTTTCAGGATGACTCATTTGTATGAGTGGCCTTGAATATGTCCGGACTCCGTGTCAAGTCGACCAGCCTCCAGACCCTCTGCACCATCGAATGGCCCTCCTTTGAAGTCGAATGGCTGCCTGAAGGGTCCCTGAACTTGTCCCTCATCTACAGGGTTCAAGGAGTTATCTTGGGGGAACTGGGGCACCCTGACCAGATCCCCTACATCCTGGGTTGGCAATATCTGGTCACCCCCCCCCCCCGTGCCCCCGAGTGGCTGCATCTCTTACTGCCGCCCCTGCCATCGGGGCCTTAAGGGGTCAGCCACTTTGCTTCCCCTGAAGAAAGTTCAGACCAAAAACCCATCAGGTCCCAAAGTTCTCCCCTCAGCGCCAGAGGTGGATTTACTCCCGCCTCCTTATGGGGCCCCATCCAGTGCTCAGGATAGACCTAGAGCGCGCAGGTCCTGAGCCTCTTCCTCTTCTTTCAGTTCCTCCCAGTCTCCGGCCCCAGCTCCTATGGCTGAGCCAGCTCCTCCCATGGCCAAGCCCAGCCCATTGCACACTCCCTCCCAGGGTGAGGGGAAGACTGTATGAGCTCTTCCCCTGAAGGAGATTGGGCCCCGAGGGAGGACGGAATTGCACCCATAGTCTACTTTCCCTTTTCTACTAGTTACCTGTATAATTGGAAGTTACAGACTCCCTCCTTCATGGAGAAGCCTCAGGCCCTAGTTTCCCTCCTGGATACCGTTCTTTTTACCCACCAACCCACTTGGGATGATTGATTGCCAACAGTTATTGAATATCCTGTTCACCACTGAGGAACAGAACTGTATCCTTCAGGAATGCAGACATGCAGTTCCTGGAAATGATGGGCGACCGACAGAGAATGAGGACTTGATTATGGGTGCTTTTCCTCTCACACGCCCAACAGAGGGATGGGACTACAATACTCCCGAATGTAGGGAATGCCTAAATGTCTATCACCAGATTCTTATGGGGCGGTCTCCAGGCAGCTGCTAAGCGCCCTATCAATTTGTCTAAGGTCAGTCAGGCAATGCAGGGAAGGGATGAGTCTCCTGGAGCGTACCTGGAGCGCCTCCTAGAGGCTTTCAGAACTCATACTCCCATTGATCCAGAGGCCCCAGAGAATCAGATGGCCATCAATATGGCTTTCGTGAATCAGGCAGCTCCAGACATAAAACAAAAACTTTGAAAGCTGGAAGGTTTCGAGGGCAAAAACCTTTCTGAGCTGATGGCAGTGGTGAACAGGTATTTAACGATAGAGAAACCCCTGAAGAAAGACAAACTAGAGGGCTGGCTAGGATACTGTTGGCTGAAAGAGCAACGAATCCCAAATGGGGGGGACCAACCCCCTATGAAAAAGGGAACCCGAGCTCCATGACCCCCACAGGAAGGTCGGCCCTGCCTAAAAAGAGACTAGTGTGCATATTGTAAACAGCTGGGTCACTGGGCTAGGGAACGTCCTCAAAGGACGGGATCCTAGTTTTTGTAGATATATTTTCAGGATGAGTCGAAGCGTTTCCCACAAAGGGGGAAACTTCCTCAATGGTGGTTAAGAAGATCATCAATGAATTAATACCAAGATATGGACTCCCCTCTGTGATCGGGTCAGACAATGAACCAGCCTTCATCTCTAAGGTAACTCAAGAGTTAATTAAAACACTGGGGACTAACTGGAAGCTACATTGCGCATACCACCCCCCAGAGCTCAGGGCAAGTAGAGAGAATGAATTGGACTCTTAAAGAGACCTTAACCAAATTAACCCTAGAAACTGGTGATGACTGGACGGCCTCCTACCTTTTGCCCTATACAGGGTCAGAAATACCCCCTATACTCAAGGCCTAAGATCTTATGAAATCATATATGGCTGACCACCCCCTTTGCTTCTGAAGCTGCCTTCAGATGTGCTAATTGATTTGTCTGAATCCTAATTTCATAAGTCCCTACAGGCCTTACAGATTGCACAAGACAACATTTTCCCTCTGCTGAGGCATATTTACAAACTGCCACCAGCCCAGCCGCATGGATTCAAGCCAGGAGACCTTGTTTGGCCCCTTGGACCTCATTGGAAGAGGCCACACATCGTGATCCTCATCATACCCACTGTGGTCAAAGTGGACAGTGTCAAGACCTGGATATATCTTTCACACTTGAAACTGGTGAAAAAAGACAAACCTGGTGAACTGAACAAGAGATGGACAATCACATGGGTAAAAGACAATCCTCTCAAGCTAAAAATCACAGCTACACCCTAACCCTTGTTGCCTTATGTTTTCTCACAGAGCCTGCCCTAGCTAACTCCCCCTATGGACTCCAAAATATCACCTGGATAGATACTAGCACATCCACTGGGAAGATACTGAACATCTCTCATCTGGGACCTCTAGGTGCCTGGTTCCCCAAGATTACATTTGACCTTTGCAATCTGCTTGAAGGAACTTGGGACTTGTCCTCTCCGTCAGGCACTGCAGACTATGGTTGCCAGAGCCCCCACGCCTGAAAGAGGACTCGGGAACACCACTTTTATGTTTGCCCAGGCGACAATGGTAACTGGAGAAGTACCTGTGGGGGGCCAGGGGATTATTTCTGTGCTTCTTGGAGCTGCGTGTCCACTGGATATATTAATTGGGCTGCCCCAGTCACTACCGACTTAATCCAGGTAACTGCAGTCCCTGGCTGGTCCTGGCTTATTAGAAACCGCAACACAGGGCAACTTGATGGACCATGTACTTCCCTTAGATGCATCCCTATCTCCTTGAGCTATACCCCAAAGGGAAGAGAACTCAAACAACAACAAAAATGGATTGATGGGCAAACTTGGGGGCTGAGGCTATATGCCTCAGGAACTCACCTGGGAATACTTTTTTCCGTCCACCTTCAGGTGGGTCCAGCCTTAGGAACTCAGACAGGGCTGGCTCGGACAATATTACAGTCCACCGGATGACCAACACTGCCCTTAACAATTTTTAAATCTGCTGGATGGCCAGCCCCTAGCCAAACTGTCCAACCTGACAACACCACCACTCCACCCACCTATAGATCTACCCCCTCAGGGGTCCACAAGGCTCAAAAGCCCCTGCAGCCATCCCCTGGACTTACTAACCTCCTAAATGCCACCTTTATTGCTTTAAATAATACCTCCCCTAACCTATCCATTGCTGGTTTTGCATGGACCCGAGCCCTCCCTTTTATGATGGGCTAGCCCTCCCAGGAAATTATACTGTCACTTCTGACCCCATGCCTGTAGAATTCCCCTGCCTACGGGAAGAAGGGGACTTACTCTTACCTAAGTGTATGGAAAAGGGCTATGCGTGACTCCCTCACATAAAATTGTCCCCCCTTCTTACCAACATCTATGTAACTCTGTTCAAGAGATAGGGGCTACTGCACCTAACCTATGTATGGTGCCCCCCAACTCCACTTGGTGGACCTGTACCTCTGGCCTAACTACATGCCTCCACTCCTCCATTTTAAACCAGACCGGGGATTTTTGTGAACTAGTGCAGGTGGTTCCTCATCTATATTATAGAACAGACATAGAAATGGAAACCACAGTCTCAGAAGAGTCTAGACCTCGTAGGGCCATAGGAACCACTGCAACTGTCCTGTCTACTCGGGGTTGGAGTAACCACTGCAACTGGTCTGTGGGCTTCAGCGCTAGTCCTCCAGGATAAAAATTAACACCTTCTTAGACAGGCCATAGAGTTAGACATACAATCATTAGAAACATCTATACACCACCTCAAAGGCTCTCTATCCTCTTTAGCTGAGGTAACCTTACAAAATAGGAGAGGGCTGGATTTACTTTTTCTAGAGAAAGGAGGACTCTCTGTTGCCCTAGGGGAACAGTGCTGTTTCTATGTCAATCACTTGGGAGTTCTAAAACAGTCTTTGGCTGAGGTCTGTAAAAGACTTAAGGAAAGGGAAAATGAACAACTAAATCAACAAAATTGGTATGAATCCCTATTTGACTGGTCCCCATGGTTAACAACTTTGATCTCAGCAATAGTCGCACCTCTCCTCTTACTCCTACTAGCAGGCCCCTGTATTCTTAATGCCTTGCTCAAATTCATCTGAGAACGGATACAGACAGTCCAACTGATGATACTGTGTTCACAGTATACTCATTTAAATCGAGACCCCGAGCCTTATGACAATATAGAAATGGTTCCACCGCCCTAAATGCTCCGTCTAACGGCTTCTTTAATTTGCTTGGCTTAAAGATTTAACCCTTGCCATAACTCTAGGGGGGAATGAAGAGCCAGAATGCTCTGACTCCATTTTGGCTAGCATCTTCAGACAAGCCCGGACAAGCTCAGGCATACTATAAAATTTTCCAGTTGCTACCCCTCTCCCCACCAGAAGCTATAAATTATGCAAGCCCTGGACATGTAAAAGCCTTATAAGGTATGAACAAAAACTTCTGGGCCCTAAAAGATATCAGTCAGCATATTCCAATGCCCTGAAGACAGCCCCTACCAATCAAGACTTCCCCCTGTACTCAGGATATGGGGACATCCAATTATTTTAAAAGACGCTTGGTGTGCGCTCGGGTTTCTGTGGAGTTCCCCAATAAAAGGCCCTGCCTGCTATTGTTCGGGGCCAGACTCCATCTTTGGCTCGTGTAGTCTGTGCCTGGCTAGCCGCCATTTGGTTGTTTTTACTTTAAATTCCTGAATAAGCTTTTTGTATAATTTTTTTGGTATCTGTGGGAATTAGTCTCGATTTTTGAACCCTAACACTATATATAAAATGTTATGCAGATTTTCTGTAATGTTATATATGAAAAGATCAAGAGTCACTATAAAAAAGAGAGGTTGCAGCTATAATATAAAATTAATAATAGTGGCTTCCTGGGGAGATGATGGGAGGACCTGGGCAAATGAGGACTTTTGCCTAGATCACTCTTCATTACATTTCTTTCATTTTGTCTGTGTTGGGGGGTGGGGGTGGGGATGGGGGGTGTGGGCAGGTTGTGCCACAGCTCGAGTATGGAGGTCAGAGGATAACTTGTGGGAGTCATTTCTCTCCTTCTACCATGTGGGCCCCAGGAACTGAACTCAGATCTCTTGGCTTGGTGGCAAGCACCTCTACCACTCAGCCATCTCACCTAAACTGTTTCTTATATAGCTTCTTATTTTTTAGTCATGATAGTATCATTACTTTCTTTAAATAAATTTTAAAAATCCCTAACAAATCTTTAAATATTTAAAAGACCATATCAAAAGCTGTATCACTGAATAGTCAAAGAGTGAACCTGCATCACTGTCACTGCTCCGTAAGTCACAGCTGTCCAATAGATAGATCCAACCATTATTCCAGCTGCAGCAAAAGGACAAGCTTTTGAGATCAGTCTATCTGCAAGATCCAAGACGTAAACGACTGGACCTACAATATAAAGAGAGAAAAAGTTTCAATACAAGGTGGGTTTAAAAAAAAAAAATTTATTTTTATGTGTATGACTGTACTGCCTGCATGTATGTGAATGCACCCATGTCGTGCAATGCTTCGGAGGTCAGAAGAGGGTGTCAATTCCCCTGGAACTGGAGTTAAGGACGGTTCATAGCCGCCATGTGGGTGTGGGAACTGAACCTCTGCAAGAGCAGTCAGTGCTCCTAACCACTGACCCACCTCTCCAGCCCCCAAGGTAGGTTTTTTAAAATGACTTCATTAATATCTTCTATAGGTCTAAAATACTTTTATGAAGTTGGATGTTCTGATGTTTTGAATTCTGGGAAATAGCTTGTTCAAACTTGTCTTTATTACTGACCCTATAATTAGAGCTTTAAATACAGGTGTTTCTTATGAAGGACAATAGTCTTCTTACTTCTATCTCATCATCACACTGGCTACTGCAGAGCTAAAGGCCATTTTAGCTTGTTCTTTTCAAACAGTTCCTGGGTAAAAAATGTGGTAAAAATAACATGTCTCTGACTTTACTCATTGTGTCTTGGTACAGTGTATAAAGGTAACCATGGTAATTTTCATTTTCTTGTAGCTACAAAGTCAATTTATTTTACTTGATTTTAAATATACTATATTTATGGGGCCAGAGAGATGGTTCAGCAGTTAAGAACACTGACTTTTGTTCTTGCAGAGGACTCAGGTTCGGTTCACATCACTCACCTGGTGGCTAACAACTGTCTGTAAGTCCAATTCCAGGGGATCTGACTCCCTCTCCTGACCTCTGCCAGCATTGCATGTACACGGTGCACTCAGATACATGCAGGCAAAATACACAAATGCATAAAAAAATATTAAAATTGAATATATTTACTATATTTAGTTGAAAATTGTTTTAAACAAGTTTTTTAAATGATTATGATGCCAGTTTTTCGTGGCATTCCAACATTTGTTTACGACAACAATGCTTTTACATACTTAGCATTTTAACTACCATTAAGTCCAATTTAGCTCCAGAATTTTCCAGAAAAGTGGGTCTCAGACTTGTTCAAAACCAAACCAAAGAAATGGACCTCTGTGTTAAGCCAAAGGTGTATATAACCTGTTGATTTAGTAATTAGTATTTGTTGAATACCACTACATACAAACTGTTATTTCAGGCATATTCTTAGAAATGCATATGCTCTTTTTTTTTTTTTTTTTGGTCTAGAATTAAAGGCAAGCACCAACCACGTCCAGCTCAAAAATGCATCTGTTCTATCACTTACTTTTTGGGGGCCTACACTCTAAAGAATGCTATACACAAAAGCAGTTATTATTGTATAAAGAAATTAACATAGCAATTTGATAGAATAAACATATAAGAAAAAAAGCAACATATAAAGCCCTGATCAAAATTCCTCGCTGACTGGAGCCAGTTACTGCAAAGAGAGACTACATGGTAGAATAAAGAGAGCATAAGCAGAGATGCCAAAGAACTTGTGATTCAAATGCAGCACATTCACTTATCATCGTTAAGCTCTAACTTAAAATTTAACAAAGCATCTTTTGGGGCCAAATAAATAACATCATTTTCCCTTATTTGATGACTTATTTCTATCAGATAAACATACTACTTCTTCTATCTACTTTAAAAATAAATGCTTAACTATTTAAATTACATTTATTTTCGTGAGTGGTTGAGGGGATATAGATAGGTGCTCATGTGCCACATGAGTGTGAGAGGCCAGAGGACAACTTGCAGGAGTTAGTTTTCTCCTACTGTGTCCTGGGGATTGAACAGATCTAAACTCTTCTTTTGATCCTTCTTGTCTCACTACATTTCTTTACTTTCTTTGCAAGAAAACTACTGAAAAGAACTGTCTATATCTTCCTTTCAGTCTCTCATGAACCTATCCTATCCAAACTGTTTATGGGTATCACTAACAACCCCAACACACCTAAATTCAATGGTCTAATCTCAGTCTACTTTCTTTTTGTACTGGCCAAATGTGACATATTTTATTCCCAATCTAAGATTGTTCCTTATTGTATTTCCAGAACATCATCATCTCTCACTTTTCAATCACTCATTTTCCGTTTCCTTTGCTGGTTCATTTTTTTAAAAAAACTTATGAATTTTATGTATATGAGTGTTAAGCTTGCATATGTATAAGTGCACCTGTGTTGTGCAGTGGCCTTGGAGGACAAAAAAGTGCTTTGGATCCCCTGGAACTAGACTTATTGTCGGTTGTTAGCTGCCATGTAGGTGCTGGGATTTGAACCTGTATTCTCTGCAAAAACAGTCAGTGCTCTTAACTGCTGAGCCATCTCTACAGCCCCTGCCAGTTCCTTCTTTACTTCACAAGTCTCACTTGGCCAATCCATGCATCATCATACTTTTTTTCCCCCCTCTTCTTTTGGTCTTTTTGAGACAGGGTCTCCTTGTAGCACCAGCTGGCCTGGTACTCGCTATATAGACCAGACTGGCCTTGATCTCACAGAAATCCACCTGCCTCCGCCTCCAGTGTGCTGGAACTAAAGGTGTGTACCACCACGCCTAGCACCATCATACGTTCTACTTAACTTGTTTTCTCTTTTTAAAGCATTTTAATCATTTAAGATACTTTAATTATTAAGTCTATTTCTATTTACTAGAACAATGGTTGGAGAACCACAGTCCCTGGCCAAATCCAGCCAGCTGTCTATTTTTGAGAATAAAGTTTTATTAGCCTGATGCCAAGTCTAAAATATTTACTGTATAGTTCTTTACAGAAAAGATCTGCTGACTCCTGTATTAAAACATAGGCTCCAAATGGGGAAAGACCTTTCTGATTTTATTTATTGATATACCCCAAGTTCCCAAGAGTCTCACTTATTTAATTCTCTTAGGGTGTAGTAGTCAAAACTACGTATTAGTGGAGTGAGGTGCTACAGTTCCTAAAAGAGAGGTCCCATGTATCTGGATGAAAATATTCCTGAAATGCACCCTACTCTAGGTGTGGTGGTGCACACCTTTAGTCCCAGCACTTGGGAGGCAGAGGTAGGCAGATCTGTAAGTTCAAGGCAGTTTGGTCTACAGAGGCCACCAGCTGGGGCTACAGGGAGACCGTCTCAAAACAACAATGAAAAACAAACAACCCCCCCAAAAAAACCCTAACACCATTTTTATTTATTATCATCATGAACAATGACAATGTATGTTTGAGTTTTCCTCAACAGACTGTAGAAAAGTCTATCAAATATGCTAAACTTTCTTGATGAAGAATTAGGTGTCAATTCTTTTGTACAAATCCTTACACTTCCTTTTGGAAACGTTCAGCCTATCTCTTGGGTTATACAAAAAATATATACCTGGTAAAAATTAAGAGGAGCTGAATTTTTAAAAAATATTTTATTATTTATTTATTTAGTTAGTTTTTGGTCTTTTTGAGACAGGGTCTCCCTGTATCCCCAGCTGTCTTGGAACTCACTATGTAGACCAGGCTGGCCTTGAACTCACAGAGATCTGTCTGCCTCTGCCTCCTGTGTGTTGGGAGTAAAGGCGTGCGCCACCATGCCTGGCCCATTTATTATTTTTATTTTATGTGTATGAGTGTATTGCCTGCAAGCATATGAATGCACCCGTGTCATGCAATGCCACGGAGTTCAGAAGAGGGCTTTGGAATCCTCTGGAACTGGAGTTAAGGATGGTTTGTAGTCACCATGTGGGTGCTGGGAATTGAACCTGGGTCCTCTGCAAGACCAGTCAGTACTCTTAACTGCTGAGCCATCTCTCCAGTCCCGAGGAGCTGAATTTTATATCATAGGTTTTTCTGATAAAAACTCTTTGTCCTTTGTCTTAAATTACTTTGCCTAAATTTCTCAAGTTACTTACAGACTAGTCTAAGATTAATTTTAATATTTAGAATAAATGCCTAGTATTGCTAAATATATCATTAGACTAAACTGCCAGTCAGAGGAGATTTCTGAGAGCTAAAGATTATCTAGGCAAGTCATTTGGTAATAACTGCTGAAATCTTCTGGATGACAATCCCTAACCCAGACTTTCTATTAGAGGAAACTTATGTGCAGCTGTCTCATGACTTAAGGTTATAATCTTTGGAAAACAGCAGCAGTCACCAGATCCATCTTATTGTCAGATTACAAATACAGTTATGGGAGTGGATGAAAAGGCAAAATCCTAGTCCTTGAAAACATTCATTTTAATAGGAAGAAGCATGAATAAATGTCCTACACACATTAACTAAGGGCATAGAAGCTTCAACGCTTAAGAAAGGCATTAGTGATTTTCTAGCACCAAAGACTGAACCCAGGGCTTCATGCATGCTTGGCAAGTGTTCCACCACTGAGCTACATTCCAGCCCTCATTACTGAATTCTTAATGGCTTGGTGGGCTTTACCACTTAAGACTTTCAATGGTATTACACTTGCCTATTAGAAAACTTTGAATAAACACACATTTAAAAAATATTTCAAGGGTTATTAGAGAAGCTTACAACTAAGTGGAAGTTTATTGTGAATTCTCTTGTACAATAAGGATTTTTGTAAAAACAGAAACTATACCTTAGTACTTTGGGTAAATTCAAGTTTTTGCATTTTAGATTTGAGTAACATGGAAAGTGAGTTGAAACTTTTGGTAAACACATAAGTTTACTCAAAAAGTAATCAGTTTTGTCAAGCAGTAAAAGAAACTTTGCTATTGCTGTGATTCATATTCAAGTTGAGCTAGGAGCGTTATCATCCATCATACATTTCCAGTGAGAGGCAAAGGCTGGATGATTCTGAGTTTGAGGCCAGCCCAGGATACGCTGCAAATTCAAGGTGCCAGACTTTGTTATACAGTGAGATCCTGTCTCAAAAACCCACTGATTGAGAGATGCAGCATTTGTCTAACATGCATAAGGCTTTGAGTTCAATCCCTAGCACCTCAAACAAATTAAAAGTCTATCTGTATATGATTGTCAAAAGGTTTATCTTGGGGGCTAGAAAGTTGGCTCAGAGCT